AATCCAGGTGTTGAATATCAGTTACAAGCTTAATCCCAAAAAACAGAATAATTTCTAGATAAAAGATGGAAAATAAGGATTAAGAGAAGAAAAAGAATGAAGAAGAAGAAGAAAGAAGGGAAGAGAAGGAGATTTCGTGTTTTCTCGAGACCTAGGGCTTTCACCCGGTCGAGAGATATATATTGGTCTGATCCAATCTCGCACATATTTATACAATTATCGGGACACGGCACGAAAAATAAACTGGCACGGCGCGAGACGCAAGGATTTCGCGGCGCGAAGGCCACCGCGGCGTGATGCTGGAAGGTGCACTCAGCCGTGAAGGATGCCGCGCGAGAGCCACGGCGTAGAGAAGCTTACTGCCGCAGCGCGACACACTGTCGCGGCATGGAGGAACCTGGTGCCGTGCCGTGAAGTGTACAACAACGTGAAGGAGAAGCGTGCCGCGCGCGATGGAAAGAAGCAGCACGGCGTGAAGCTTGCAGCGGCACGGAGAGGTCTTCAGTCGCGGCGCGAGGAAGATCTGCTGGTGTGGTACGACACGGCGCGAAGCCACACTCTGCCGCGGCGCAACGCCCTTGCGCGGCGCGAAGCTTCACTCTGCCGCGGCGTGTCGTCCTTCGCGGCCTGGAGGAGCATGGCTGGCGCGACGTGACAGCATGCGCGACGCGGGGCTGGAAGTTTGCTGCCCTGTCCAAGTCGCGACATCAGCGCGGCGTGAGGGATAGTCAGGTGGCGCGGCGTGACGAGGTGCAGCGGCGCGGGGCCGCATGGTGCTGGGCCTGGACGAGCTTGTTACTACTTCCTCGAGTTTGCTTTCTGGATTCGTGCGAGCTCGTTTGGAAACGGAATTTAATTCTGTTTTTTCTTGTATATTGCCAATGAAAAGCTCTATGTAATCATGTTCACCCGGTCCATATATCATGAAAAATAAATTCTCTCGAATCTCTAACCTGCACACCAAAGACGAAGAAAACCGGAAAATACACGAGAAACACAAAGAAAATCAAAATAGAGCGAAACACACAATAAACGACAAAATGAACCTAAAACCAACTAAATGACTCAAAATGGGGGAAAAAGAATGAGAAAATAATAACAAAAAATGCAACAAAAATGAGACAAACAACTTCCCCACACTAAGACCTTTGTTCGTCCCGAACAAAAAGAAAAAAAATAAGACACGAGCATGGACATGGTTTCAAATAAGAATAGCCTCAAAATGCCTAACTCAATCAAGTCGAATTCCAACGACCGTACGGCCATAGGCCTCAAATATCAAGTTGGACTCAAAATGACAAACTCTCAAACGCATAGAATGTAATATAAACCTCACTCATTTTCTTGCACGAATATATGATAGGCACGCTCAAAATTGGTCGATATTCAAGTTTCAACATATGCTTGCCAATCGTCTAAATTACTCAGAAACAATCACAGTTCAAGATTTGCGAATCAAGAAGACTTCACGGGTTGTATTGTGGGCTAAGGAAAAGGTAAGGACATATATAAACAGGAAGCTCATATAAACAATCAAAGTTTTCGAGTAATAGACTACTCAAATGTCTGCTACTCATCAAAATCAACAAGGCAAAACACATATCGTTCCCCAACAACTCCACAAACAATACCTAACTGCTCTAATTGGATTACAACATCACTTGACCCAATATTTATTTATTTATTTATTTTATCTTACTATATTTTTTTCTATATCTATTTTTTTATTTAGAGAGTAACTTTTTCCAAACAAGATCGAATCAAAAGGACAACATTCTGTAGGTGTAAATATTGGAGGTCATCCAAGTGTCCTACAGTAGTTTCCCAATGCTCATTACCCGTCAACACGAATCGACTAATAAGAGGAGCAGAATCCAATCGATTCGTCATGCAAGCTCTCATGTTTTTTCTTTTTTTTTTTT